ATTACTTAAAAAAATTGTTTTCAATCTAGAATTTAATGAGGTCCGACTTCACTTGGAAATGAACGGGCGGCGGCCAAAAAAAAAAAAACTATGACGCCCCGCTCTCGGTGTTTAGTCGACCACGGCTCGATCCTCGGAAAGGGAAATGATCAAACTTTTTTCTAAGTCTAGGATTAGCTGCTCGGTCAGGGTGACTGTAAGACCGGCCCCGGGTCGAAAAGGTATGCGAGAGGTCGTGCTCCGAGCCCCTCCCATACATCCGTTGTCCGACGTTGCTGTCTAAGCAGCTCGCATACTCGTTTGACCAAATCAACTGTGCGGCGACTATATGACCGGTCTTCAGGCCGAAGGTATGCGAAAGGTCGTGCTCCAAGCCCCTCTCGTACACCCGCTATCTGACGTTGCTAGGGTTAACAGCCCGCATTCTCGTTTGATATGGTCAGCGGTGCGGGTCCGTTCTGGTCTGATCATGCAGGGTCTTGCCCTTACGTTTGGCCGACTTCAGTTCGACTTTCAGAAAGAGAATAACCAAATATTTCCTAAGTATGAAACTAGCTGTACAAGTCAAGGTGGTGTAAGACCGACCTCCGGGTCGAAGGTATGCGAGAGGTCGCGCCCCGAGCCCCTCTCGTACATCCGTTGTCCAATCACTGGCCGAACAGCTTGCACAACTCGTTGGTCCAATCACCCCGCCTTACCCAGCAGGGCGCGGTCAAGGTCGACCTTGTCGACTTTCCGCCCCTCGCGGCATAGGTGGGGAGCCAGATCCCCGATTAGTTCTCCAAGTATTCTTGAATGAAAAACGACGAAGTAAATTGAAAGAACGAACGACGCATATATACAAGCTCAAGTGAAAAATCAATCACAGAGAACAAGTCCAAGATCATCATTGCCCGGTTTTCTTCTCCTCATCACAGGTAGTCTGCATACCATGTCAGCCAATTGCAACCCTCCTTGGTCTGCAGCTAAGCTCGGATTTACTCCGGACAACAGTCTTCAATCCTGGAAGTGACAAGCTCCGGAAACTGTAATGGGCCTTGAACAAAGCAACTGCCTCATCTTCTACGTCCTCGAAGCTCAGACGTGCTCCAGATGCCGGGCCTCGAGCCTAAAGCTTGCAAACTCCAAGATCACTAGGGAGGCTTTAACACCGCAACTACCTTATGATCCGCATCCCGGGACAACGCATTCAACTGGTCTTACTTTTATTTAGGTTCGAATGGAACTTTCATATCCTTGGTCGCCGCCACGCTCGGGCATGCTCCGATCGTTGGCTCCGTGGGAAGCTGTGTAGCTTCATGGCATCCTCAGTTTTCTCCCGTCCACTCCTGAGCCTAGACTACACAGCGCTGGTTCAGGCTCTTCTTTAACAGGCCTCAAAATTCAAACTAAGTGTGTGGTCGTGACGAGGCCTATAATCATCACCTCACCATCCATACCAAGTCACGCACGCTCATCTAAGTCCAAGTTCGTGAAGGGCTATCTCCAGGTCAAGTCCGTCTAAGGCTATCTTTCGGTCGAGGTTGCACATGCATGACAGTGCATGAATTACGTATGGGCTTATTTGTAACACCGTCCCCAAATGTATTTACTTTTAAGTGAATAATATTGTACGTAACCTTGTGGAATGGTTAATGAGTTTACAATGTTATGGATTTTTATTAATTATTTTGCGTGAATAGTAAATTCGCACGTGGGGCCCGCACCGGGAGCGGGGGCCGCCCAATATTCCCGGGACTACATAAACTATCCATCTCGGTCTAGATAATATTTATATGGTGGAGGATAACTCATTTGAGCCATGGAAAGGTCCGGAGTTGACCGATTGGTCAAAGAGGCCTAAATACCGGTATTGGCAATTTAACCGATAAAAGCCCGAAATTGAATTTCGGGGACTTATAAATTAAAGTTGGGGTATGAATATTCATCATAAGAGTATTAATGATGGAGAGCACATAATATATTTTATTTGACCCGATAAAATAAAATATATTTTAAATGGTCCGAAAAATACAACTTTCGGGACAAAGTGTACACTTCTGGACAAAAGGGGTTGACCTCCCACATGGGTGGGGGCCAACCCACGAAATTAGCCATATTTTTTCATGACTTGGCCGGCTGGATGGTGGAAGAGGCATGGGTGATGTGTGTGAAGTGAAAGAAGAAGCATCAAACAAAAAAAAGGGGACCACATCCACCCCATTTGACCTTTGAGACAAAAGACCATCCCCTCACCCCTCTCTCCCTCATTCCTCTCGGCCAGCACCAACCCCAGCAAGAAAAGAAAATCTCCATCTCCCTTTTCCCATCCTTGAAGAGAGCTCAAGCAATAGAAGTCCAAGGGGAAAGTTTAAAAGAAGAAAAAAGCTAGGAAAAGTGAGAAAGATTAAGGTAATAACCTTATATTAACTTTTCCTTTATTTTTCTTCTACAATATGAGATATATATCATGTGAAGAACATTGAGGATTGTTCCACATGAGTTAAGTGTAGAATGATGGTTGGAAGGGGGTTCTAAGTCCAAAAACGGACCTAGGAGCCAAACCGACAAGTTCACCGGAAAATAATCTTTTAGAGGTTATTTGTATTGATTACGGTTTTATGATGTTAAAACCTTGTTAGGAACTTGATTAAAGTACTTTGGAGCTTCGCCGGAGTTTCACCGGAGTTGGTCAAAGTTGGCCGGAGTTGGTCAAAGTTCACCGGAATTAGTCAAAGTTCAACCGCGGAGCGTAGAACACGCTTAAGCTCACTTAAGGTGAGGATGACCGACTATATTGCTTATAATTATTGGGTTAATTTCATAAGATTACCTAAATGAATTATATGTGTTTGACATGATGTATTTATAATAATAAAATGCCTAAATGAGATTTTTATTGTTTATAAGCAAAAATGCATAATATACAAATTTATGAATAAATTGTGTATGATTATGTGTTATGAATACAATGGTATAATAGTTGTGTAAACTATAAACTAAATTGTGATAAATATACTTTTACCTCATGTAAGGAAGTCATGGAAGGATAAAAGTGATGTTTTGATATTAGAGCCAAGTTATACTTGAATGTGGAATTCAATTGAGATATTCAAATTATTATGAACTTAAGTTACATTTGGAGTAGGCCTTAAGGGGTTACTCAAAATGGATGGAACCTAGACTAAGAAGTGGTTTAGGGATTAGTTGACGTGACTATGAGCCGAGCTCTAGCACGTGGTAGCATGACTATGAGCCGAGCTCTAGCAAACGTAGGGTGACTATGAGCCGAGCTCTAGCACAAATTAGTATGACTATGAGCCGAGCTCTAGCAAACATAGGGTGACTATGAGCCGAGCTCTAGCACAATTTAGTATGACTATGAGCCGAGCTCTAGCAAATGTAGTGTGACTATGAGCCGAGCTCTAGCACAATTTAGCATGACTATGAGCCGAGCTCTAGCATGAAGGAACAGGAGTTAAGTACAAATGAATAACATCTTGGATTGAGGGTCTTGGAAATTGAAACTTTGATTATACTTAGTATAGTTGTCATTGTACTTGTCAAATGCTTCCAAGTACTGACCTCCCCTTCACGGGGGAGGCCACCTCACAGTTTCAGGTAGAACTTGAAGGTTGCTACCATCACCGTTGCTTCGGGCGGATTATCAAGGAGAGGAGACGTGGTTCGTGCTTCCTCCGTTTCTGTTTTAAACATTCAAATTAATGCTCATGGATACTATTTTCCGAATAATTATTTGGGGCTTGCACGCCCGTGTTTGCCACGTGTGGCTCGAATGCTTGTATTAATATTTCCGCTGCTTAATTAAATGATTTACATTATGATTGTTTATGGATGTACTAATGTGAATGGTATTCAAGACGCCTTGTATAGTATGGATGAGTTGGACTGCGGTTGACTATTCGTACCGTACGGCGGGTTGTTGACGTGTCCGGGAAGGTCCGGGGCGTGACAATTTAATTGGTATCAGAGCCTTAGTCCGTAAACTTCATAATGAAGCTTCAAAACCTCTTTTGAAAACGAATTTGAAAACCATGAGCATAAAAAGTTTTGTACTTATAGAACGTTTGGTACTTGAGTTGCAAAGTCTCTAATTGTTAAGATGGTACCCTTAACAATTGGTATGGCGGTGATTTAAGCCAAAAGATGTCTTTAAGTACCTATCCGTCACTTGACAGTTGATACGAGTCTAATGGCTCATTCTAAACTTCTTTCAGAAATGGAGCCAATTGGTAGAATCACTAGGAGGAACCCGACGGGCCGTGTACCGGGTGGGTCCGAACGCGGCAGCCGGGGGTCCACTAGGGTGTCAAGGGGAAGGGGCCGTGGAGGCCAACAACAGACCGTGAGCGATGGCCACGTGGACACCGAGAGTGAGACTTATTGGTCCTATGAGGACTCAACTTATAGACCGGAAACCGAGCCGGTGGAAACTTCATATGATGGGGAGGATGATGATGTGAGTGAAGAGAGTGAAGATGATGGCACTCTTGGGAGAATCGAGGCGCTGCTCCAACAATACCACCAGGAGCGTGAGGAGAGGAGACAACGCCGAAGGCGCCGAGCGGGGCAACCTTCGGGCATGGCTTCAAGAGGGGGAAGTCATGGTGCTTCTAGGGTCCATGTTGAACCCCATGGAGGCCAAAATGCTGGAGGTCCAACCATAAGGATCTCCAAATTTGTCAAGGAAGCAAGAGATTTGGGATGTAAACCGTTTGACGGAACGGGGGACATCTCCGTGGCGGCCGAGTGGATCAAAAGATTCAACGAAGCGGCCCTTGACATGCAGCTGCCACCCAACATGAAACTGAGGGTGGCAATAAGATTGCTTGAAGGCATGGCGTCCACATGGTGGGACGGAGTCAAAGGGAAGTACGGCGAGGCCGTCACTTGGGAGAACTTCCGGCAGGAGTTCTTCAACCAATACTACTCCGACTTCGAGGTAAACATGAAGAGGAGGGAGTATACAAACTTGACACAAGGAGGTGCATGCACGGTGAAGGAACTTGAGCACAAGTTCAGAAAGCTTGCCGAATTCATACCGGAGTACATATGTGATGAGAACCGGATGGTGAACCACTTCTGGGATGCCTTGGACCTTGACATACGTGAGAGGGCAACACAATTGCCTAATATGACGTTTAGTCAAGTGGTTGAACAAGGCCTGAAGGGAGAGAAGGAGTGGGAGGAAAGAAAGCTAAGGAATGCCGAGGAGGCGAAGAAAAGGAAGTGGGAAAGCCATGGCCCCCAAGGTTCCAACAAGAAGGGGAACCATGGGGGAGGCGGATCGTTCAGGGCACCGGCACCGCCGTCAAAAGGGAACCCGGCCTTCAGCGGGCACAACTCGGGCTCACAAGCGTCAACTGCGCCAAGGTGTAGGAATTGCAACCGGAGCCACGCCGGTAAGTGTCGTGATCCACCACGGTGCTACCAATGCGGGAGCACAGGGCATATCAAGCCCAACTGCCCTCAACTTGGTGGGAACCGAGGGGCGGGATCAAGCGGCCCTACTACGGCAAGTAGGAACCGAACCGGAGCACCGCATGCCAGTACGGGCCAAGGGGGAGCAAGCACGAGCAATGCGCCGTCCGTTAACCAAGGAAGGACCCAAGCAAGGGTCTACGCAATGACGGAGGCGGATGCCCGAGCTAACCCAGATTCGGTTGCAGGTACGACCGCTTAACTTCCCGTATTTTACCCATTCCTCATCCATAAATTGAAGTTATAAATCCTAGAATCCAGGCGGGAGCGGACGTAAGATTGAAATGGGAAAGGAGAGCAAAACCATGCTACTACCCGACCGGGTAGGGCAATAAACCCGACCGGGTAGGACAAGTTTTTGCCCTCGTAAACCTTCTGGATCGCATACCCGATCGGGTTTGGTAATGAACCCGACCGGGTAGGCCAAGTTTTTGCACTCATAAGTCCACTGGAACACATACCCGACCGGGTATGGTGGTATACCCGACCGGGTTTGTCAAAAATTTCTTCCCGACACCCACTGGAACACATACCCGACCGGGTATGGTGTTATACCCGACCGGGTTTGTCAAAAAATTCTGCCCGAACCCACTGGAACCTATACCCGACCGGGTATAGTATGTTACCCGACCGGGTACACCTCGAAGTGTTCATCAAATGAAAAAGTTGTCTTCATGAAAGTTGTAGATATTTTCATTGTCTAAATGATGGAATTTGAATCGAACGATTTGGTTAAGTATGTGAAGAGATATGATCAAAACGGTGAGACAGTGTCAATTTATATCTCAACTGCGAACGTTAACCATAATTGGGGGACTTTGCCCACTTTAAGGACATAATTTCGCATTATGTTCTTCGTAGGATTGGTCGGTATGTTAGAGAGGTATCTTACATGGCTTATAAATGTAGGAACACTAAAGATTAATGGGAGATGTGCGAGAATCCTCATCGATACCGGGGCGCAACGATCATTTGTGAGTGAGGCATTCGCCGGGGGATTCAACGTACCCCTGGTACCGATGACTCAAGCCCTATTGGTATCCACACCCCTAGGGGAAGACATCGAGAGAGATAGCCACTATCCATCGTGTGAGGTGGAAGTGGAGGGCCAAAACTTGTCGTGTGATTTCGTGCCGCTGAGTATGATTGAGTTCGATGCAATCCTGGGGATGGATTGGCTTGAGAAGCATCATGCTAGGGTCGATTGTTACACGAAAGTACTTGAACTCGAAGGCAATGAAGGGGTGACCCTACGCTTCGAGGGGGATGGGGCAAAATCCAATAGTTGTATCATATCCGCTGTGAGGGCTAAGAATATGATGAGGAAGGGATGTCACGCATATCTAGCGTATGTGGTGGACAAAACCAAAGAAGAGACGAGCATTGATGATGTTAGGGTAGTATGCAAGTATCGGGACGTCTTTCCAAAAGACTTACCGGGACTTCCACCCGATAGGGAGATTGAGTTCGTGATCGAAGTCGAGCCCGGCACCAAACCAATCTCCATACCGCCATACCGTATGGCACCCGCTGAACTTAACGAGTTAAAAACCCAATTGCAAGAGCTTTTGGATAACGGTTTCATCAGACCAAGCCACTCCCCGTGGGGAGCACCAGTCCTTTTTGTGAAAAAGAAGGATGGAACACTTCGAATGTGCATTGACTATCGTCAACTGAACAAGGTCACAATCAAAAATAGGTATCCTTTGCCTAGGATTGATGACTTGTTTGATCAACTACGAGGAGCAACCGTGTTTTCAAAGATTGACTTGAGGTCGGGGTACCATCAATTGAAGATTAAGGAGGATGACATACCGAAGAGTGCTTTCCGCACGAGGTATGGGCATTTTGAGTTCCTTGTTATGTCGTTTGGGTTAACAAACGCCCCGGCGGCATTCATGGACTTGATGAACCGAGTATTTCACAAATACTTGGACCGATTCGTGATTGTGTTCATTGATGACATCTTGATCTACTCAAAGAGTGAGGAAGAGCATAAGGAGCACTTGATACTCGTTCTTGAGACACTACGGGAGAAGCAACTCTATGCCAAATTTTCTAAATGTGAATTTTGGCTTAAGGAGATTGGTTTTCTCGGGCATGTGGTTTCGAGATCGGGAATTGCTGTTGATAACAAGAAGATAGAAGCCATCACCGAATGGGAGAGGCCAAAGAACGTCAAGGAAATTCGTAGTTTCCTTGGATTGGCAGGATACTATAGAAAGTTCGTGGAAAAGTTCTCTGTTTTGGCATCACCGTTGACAAAGCTCACTCGAAAAGGAGCTAAGTTTGTATGGGATGACAAGTGTGAGAAAGGATTCGCTGAACTGAAGAAGAGATTAACCGAGGCACCGGTACTTGCATTACCCAAACAGGGTATGGGGTACGATGTCTATAGTGACGCGAGCATCCAAGGGCTTGGATGTGTGTTAATGCAGGAGGGGAGGGTAATTGCCTATGCTTCACGACAGTTGAAGAAGCATGAGGTAAATTACCCCACCCATGATCTAGAGTTGGGAGCAGTGGTGTTCGCACTGAAGATTTGGAGACATTATCTCTACGGAGAGACATGTCACATATACACTGACCATAAGAGCTTGAAGTACGTGTTTACTCAGAAAGAGTTAAACATGAGGCAGAGACGGTGGATGGAGTTGATAAAGGACTACCACCTAGTGATTGAGTACCATCCAGGCAAGGCAAATGTAGTGGCAGATGCTTTGAGCCGGAAGAGATCAACTGGGGCATTGATAGCTAATTTGAGGGCATTAAGAGCCCAACTGGAGGTGTCCAGTAATGGTGCCTTATTGGCACGGTTTGAGGTGAGACCTACTTTGCTTGATGAGATCAAGAAGGGTCAGGAAACTGACGATGAAATTGTGAAGATCAGGGAACGCTTGCAAGCGGGACCGGTGGAGGACTTCAAAGAAAGAGACGACGGTCTTTTATTATTTCGCGACCGAGTGTGTGTGCCGGCAGATGATGAGCTCCGAAAGTCCATCTTAGAGGAAGCTCATTCATCGGCTTATGCCATGCACCCGGGGGGCACGAAGATGTATCGCGATTTGAAAGAAAGTTACTGGTGGTCCGGTATGAAGAGAGAGATAGCCGAGTACATCAGTCGGTGCCTTACTTGTCAGCAAGTCAAGGCAGAGCATCAGCATCCAGCTGGGTTATTACAGCCACTTTCCATTCCAGAATGGAAGTGGGAGCATGTGACTATGGATTTCGTGGTGGGGTTGCCACGGACCGTGAACAACTATGATGCGGTATGGGTAGTAGTTGATAGGCTCACCAAGAGTGCTCACTTTTTGCCTATTAACATCACTTACCCTCTTGAAAGGTTGGCGAAGCTATACACGGAGGAGATTGTGAGACTACATGGAGTCCCGATATCCATTGTCTCGGATAGGGATCCACGATTCACATCTCGATTTTGGCCCAAGTTTCAAGCATCTTTGGGTACTAATTTGAAGTTTAGCACGGCTTTTCATCCACAGACGGATGGACAATCCGAGCGAGTGATACAGATATTGGAGGACATGCTTAGGGCGTGTGCTCTGGAGTTCCAAGGAAGTTGGGACAAACATTTGGCTCTAGTCGAGTTCGCCTATAACAATAGTTATCAGGCGAGCATTGGCATGCCTCCATACGAGGCATTGTATGGGAGGAAGTGCAGGACACCGTTATGTTGGGACGAGGTTGGCGAGGCCAAGCTCGAGGGGATTGAACTTGTTGAAATCACCAAGACTAAAGTGAAAGTCATTCAGGATAGACTTAAGACCGCCCAAGATCGGCAGAAGAGCTATGCCGACAAACGACGCAGGCCATTGGAGTTCGAGGTCGGTGATAAGGTCTTCCTAAGAATTTCTCCTTGGAAGGGTATCATCCGATTTTTATCGAGGGGAAAACTCAACCCCCGATACATTGGTCCGTTTGAAATCCTTGAAAGGATTGGGGCGGTGGCTTACCGTCTCGAGCTGACGCCGGAACTTGAGAAGATACACGACGTGTTTCATGTATCGATGCTCAAGAAATACGTGAGAGATCCATCTCATATTCTTGAGAAGCCACCGGTGGAGATACGTGAAGATCTACAATATGCAGTGGAACCGGTAAAGGTTGTGGGTCAACAGGTGAAGAAATTGAGGAACAAAGAGATTCCTATGGTAAAGGTTCTTTGGAGGAGTGATCGAGTCGAAGAAGAAACCTGGGAGACCGAGGTCTCAATGAGGGAGCAATACCCGTTTCTTTTCGATTAGACACATGGATTTCGGGGACGAAATCCCAAATAAGGGGGGGTGAACTTGTAACACCGTCCCCAAATGTATTTACTTTTAAGTGAATAATATTGTACGTAACCTTGTGGAATGGTTAATGAGTTTACAATGTTATGGATTTTTATTAATTATTTTGCGTGAATAGTAAATTCGCACGTGGGGCCCGCACCGGGAGCGGGGGCCGCCCAATATTCCCGGGACTACATAAACTATCCATCTCGGTCTAGATAATATTTATATGGTGGAGGATAACTCATTTGAGCCATGGAAAGGTCCGGAGTTGACCGATTGGTCAAAGAGGCCTAAATACCGGTATTGGCAATTTAACCGATAAAAGCCCGAAATTGAATTTCGGGGACTTATAAATTAAAGTTGGGGTATGAATATTCATCATAAGAGTCTTAATGATGGAGAGCACATAATATATTTTATTTGACCCGATAAAATAAAATATATTTTAAATGGTCCGAAAAATACAACTTTCGGGACAAAGTGTACACTTCTGGACAAAAGGGGTTGACCTCCCACATGGGTGGGGGCCAACCCACGAAATTAGCCATATTTTTTCATGACTTGGCCGGCTGGATGGTGGAAGAGGCATGGGTGATGTGTGTGAAGTGAAAGAAGAAGCATCAAAAAAAAAAAGGGACCACATCCACCCCATTTGACCTTTGAGACAAAAGACCATCCCCTCACCCCTCTCTCCCTCATTCCTCTCGGCCAGCACCAACCCCAGCAAGAAAAGAAAATCTCCATCTCCCTTTTCCCATCCTTGAAGAGAGCTCAAGCAATAGAAGTCCAAGGGGAAAGTTTAAAAGAAGAAAAAAGCTAGGAAAAGTGAGAAAGATTAAGGTAATAACCTTATATTAACTTTTCCTTTAGTTTTCTTCTACAATATGAGATATATATCATGTGAAGAACATTGAGGATTGTTCCACATGAGTTAAGTGTAGCATGATGGTTGGAAGGGGGTTCTAAGTCCAAAAACGGACCTAGGAGCCAAACCGACAAGTTCACCGGAAAATAATCTTTTAGAGGTTATTTGTATTGATTAAGGTTTTATGATGTTAAAACCTTGTTAGGAACTTGATTAAAGTACTTTGGAGCTTCGCCGGAGTTTCACCGGAGTTGGTCAAAGTTGGCCGGAGTTGGTCAAAGTTCACCGGAATTAGTCAAAGTTCAACCGCGGAGCGTAGAACACGCTTAAGCTCACTTAAGGTGAGGATGACCGACTATATTGCTTATAATTATTGGGTTAATTTCATAAGATTACCTAAATGAATTATATGTGTTTGACATGATGTATTTATAATAATAAAATGCCTAAATGAGATTTTTATTGTTTATAAGCAAAAATGCATAATATACAAATTTATGAATAAATTGTGTATGATTATGTGTTATGAATACAATGGTATAATAGTTGTGTAAACTATAAACTAAATTGTGATAAATATACTTTTACCTCATGTAAGGAAGTCATGGAAGGATAAAAGTGATGTTTTGATATTAGAGCCAAGTTATACTTGAATGTGGAATTCAATTGAGATATTCAAATTATTATGAACTTAAGTTACATTTGGAGTAGGCCTTAAGGGGTTACTCAAAATGGATGGAACCTAGACTAAGAAGTGGTTTAGGGATTAGTTGACGTGACTATGAGCCGAGCTCTAGCACGTGGTAGCATGACTATGAGCCGAGCTCTAGCAAACGTAGGGTGACTATGAGCCGAGCTCTAGCACAAATTAGTATGACTATGAGCCGAGCTCTAGCAAACATAGGGTGACTATGAGCCGAGCTCTAGCACAATTTAGTATGACTATGAGCCGAGCTCTAGCAAATGTAGTGTGACTATGAGCCGAGCTCTAGCACAATTTAGCATGACTATGAGCCGAGCTCTAGCATGAAGGAACAGGAGTTAAGTACAAATGAATAACATCTTGGATTGAGGGTCTTGGAAATTGAAACTTTGATTATACTTAGTATAGTTGTCATTGTACTTGTCAAATGCTTCCAAGTACTGACCTCCCCTTCACGGGGGAGGCCACCTCACAGTTTCAGGTAGAACTTGAAGGTTGCTACCATCACCGTTGCTTCGGGCGGATTATCAAGGAGAGGAGACGTGGTTCGTGCTTCCTCCGTTTCTGTTTTAAACATTCAAATTAATGCTCATGGATACTATTTTCCGAATAATTATTTGGGGCTTGCACGCCCGTGTTTGCCACGTGTGGCTCGAATGCTTGTATTAATATTTCCGCTGCTTAATTAAATGATTTACATTATGATTGTTTATGGATGTACTAATGTGAATGGTATTCAAGACGCCTTGTATAGTATGGATGAGTTGGACTGCGGTTGACTATTCGTACCGTACGGCGGGTTGTTGACGTGTCCGGGAAGGTCCGGGGCGTGACATTATTGGCGGGCGAGAGCCAACCCAAGCTCCGAGCTCGGGTCTCTCACTCCTAAGGATGAATCATGGTGGACTTCTCACTGCATCCTCCCGAGAACGTCAGACGAGCATTGCTCACAAGTGAAGATCGGTCTTTGCCATCCCCTCAGCAGATGGCGACCGTTGCAGCTGCACGCAGTGGCCAGAGAGCTCACCCGTTTGCTTGGTTTTAAACAACACCTCGGGCTGCTTATTGGACAAACAAGACCCTGGGCTGCTAATCGGAAGAACAAGACCCCGGGCTGCTAATTGAACAAACAAGACCCCAGGCTGCTACCAGACAGAGGAAACCCTATCCTTTTGCAAGCAATGAGGATCAAGGTGGACGGTATTGCATCCGACCTTTCCAGATCATAGCTCGGTTGTCCATCGTCAGCGGACAGCTGGGTGGCCAGCATCTCCCGAGCATACCCAGTTTGCCAACATCGGCGAACATCTATGTCACTAGCCTCTCCCGGGCATACCTCGGATCTCCTTCCTCAGCATACAACTGCGACCCGCCTTCTCCAAGCATACATTGGCTCGACCGACACCACTGGCAAACAACCGTGCGACTGGTCTTTTCGGAACATATCTCGGCCTACCAGTAAAGCAGGCACTCAATCAAGAACCGAGGGGATTGACCTTCCTTTGCTTTATTTTAAGGCTCCGGTGTACTCTTTTCCCTTCACTAGGATTTTTTCCCACTGGGTTTTTTCCTAGTAAGGTTTTAACGAGGCACCCCGTCATCGTGAACAAATGAAGAGGTCTCCCGGTCAGAACAAGGAAGATTCCATCCTTTCACAAGCAACCGGGTCAAATTCAAGGCTCCTTAATGATCGGTCAACCGGACCAAGAACCGGACCAATTCCAAAACAACTTAACCACTCCCTTTTTAGCCGAGTCTACTACTCGACTAAGGGAGTGGGGGACTCGTGTTGGGATAATGGGCCGGGTCCAAGAATATTGGCCCATTACACCTGAGCTTTGGCCCGACCAAGCTCAGAACACAGTCCGGCTAGCAGATACTGGTCCGGGATTATCGAATTACTTATCGGGTTGACTGGCCCATTAGCGTTAGTATTAGTTGATAAATCAGGCCAAGCCCATGTAACCTCTAATTGGTGGGCCTGTTGTATACGCCTATAAATAGGCCACCAACCCTTTGTATTCTGCTAAGTTATTCTCACTATACTGAAATGCTGACGAATTCTCTACCCGGGTTATTTTCTACCAACAACTAGCATGGTGACATAAATGTTGATGATGTGGTCCTGAAAATCATACTCGATGAGTTGCAATATGGTCTTATGTTTGACCTAGGGATGGGAATGGGATGATCCCGGTTGCCAAAATCACGATCTCGTCCCGATCCCGATTCAAAATACAAGAGGTTCTTGTACCTTGTTCCGATTAAGGGAGTGTTTGCGATTGCTTGTGCTTTTTAAAAGTGATTGTTTTAAGAGATTGTTGGAAAAGTGATTTGTAGTAAAAGTTGATAGTGTTTGGGAGTAGAAGTGATTATAATGAAAGTGTTAAAGTTGGAGTGTTTGATAAAAAAGTAATTTTTAATGTAATATTTTATTAAAGTACAAAAATACCCCTGCATAAATTTAGTAATTGCATTTATACACACAGAAACGTCATTGTCTTCTTCACTAATACTCTGATGGATCGGAAATACGTTCTACTCTCGGGCAGACATCCATTGTTCCAGTTCAGCTAATTTATTGCAGAAATCTTTTCTTCTCTTTTTCATTTGGGGAACACACTGATTCACTGAAGCTTTCTGCTCAAATAAAACATGGGAACTTCCGGCCAGACTTCATCAACGATTGACTCTAAGGAATTGGTCAATTAATTTGTTGATTCACATGACGATATCTATCTGATCAATGGGTGGAGGGTATACCTTTAATCCCAGTTTCAATAGAAAAAGAATACTCATTAATTTATTGACATCGAACCAAAACCTAACCCCACACCTTCAAGGTTGGAAGCTTGAATTGGCTGGAAGGGGACGCCGGAGCTCACACCTTCAAGCCGAAGGTTCGAATTGAATGAGAGGGCATGGCAGAGGTGCTTACATCTTCAAGGTCGAAGTTCCTATGAAAGAGGTTGAAGCTGCCGATCCTATGTGCGTACGATGGATATGGCCTGTAACGACCTCACTGTCCAGAAGGGTGAAGAGAGGGATGGGGGTATTTTAGATATTTAATGAATTTATTTGGTATTATAAACATCCTTAAAGTTTGAGTTATTTACAAAAAAACCGAGAAGCAGTTAAAAGCACCCCAGGGCCAGCTTTCAGCTTTTGGCTTAAAAGTGATTTTTTTAAGTAGAAGTTGGTGTTTGAAAACACCAATTTCAACTTTTTTTAAGTCAAAAGCTGAAAAGTGCTTTTATTAATCTTTTGCAAACACAGCCTAAGTCGGGATCCCGACAATAAAATCCCGATTAAGTCGGGTTCCCGATCAGGAATCCCGCTTAATCCCGACAATGAAGTATCAAACCACTAACTTTGATATTTAGTGGTTTCAACACTATTTTTTGGTCATTATTATACTATATTTATCATCATCTATTTATGAAAATTATAGTAATAATTATCATCTCAAATTCACAGTAGTACATACTTTTAGACGAATTTTTATTTATACCTTCAATTAATTAATATAACTATTTAGTAAGTTATCAAGGTTTAGTGAAACTTACTTTAAAAATTATATAAAAATTCACTAAAAGAATTAAGATGTGTAACATATATCATTTAATATTCAAAACTAAGTAGACTCATTGAGAAACTTTGTGAGCAATGAATATAATGTATAAATACATATCATGATTATTTACTAAAGAAATAAATCTTAGTCTTGATCATGATTTTTTATGAGTTCATCAAAACCGCAAAAATTGTAATATTGTTGGGATGTAGATTGTCGGGATCAAGAATAATCTCTATTTAGTTAGGATCCATAACATTCAGTTTGGGATAAATGTCGAATAATGAAAGAAGTTTGATATTGTAACATTTTTTATTTTTTATTTTTTTGTTTGATATTGTAACATAAAAGATTAATCTGTGTAAGGAATACGTAAGTAAAAAGATATGCAAATATTTAGATACATGTTCGGTTTTTATAAATGTATATTCATTTTTTTATTCATATATAATTATATATATATGTATATATATGTGTGTGTGTGTCTATATATATATATATATATATATTTCTATTTGTATATGTATATATATATAGTGTTCGGATGTCGGGATTTTCCCGATCCCGACTTTTAAAAAAATCTTGGTCCCGTCCCGACTTAGTCGGGATTGGGAAAAATTATTGACTAGTCGGGATCGGTATTGTCGGGATTGGGAATATCGAGATCGGGATTGTCGGGATTCAAGAAAGAATTCTCACCCCTAGACTTAGAATAGACCACCCCGGAAGGATCGAGACTATTCGCGAACCATGTGAGAGTTTCGAAACTTTTAACGGCCAGATAAGCCTTATCGCTTCAACCAAACTTAGTATCCCAACCCAAGCAAGAAAAACAAAAAACCAACCTACTGCTAGAGTTCAAAACAATGAGAATAGCAACGTGAACGAAATAAAGGGAAAACAGTAAAAATAAATAAAGTCTGCATGGCTTTCAGCCTTATTGAACTCCCAAAGCTGCGAACCGGTGTCTCTCACTGCTGTGCCTGGCGAGCTACAAATTTGTAGCTCACCTCCTCCCCTCCCCCCCCCCCCCCCCCCCCCCCCCCGGTATGAGCAATCTCCATCTCTTCCCCGGTCTGGTGATCTGTTGTGTCCTCCACACGCCTTCGTTTCTGCTCAATCTTAATAGTTAATATAAATTAGGAATCTTTGTGTCTTTTGGGAAACTCTTGTTTAATATAAATATACCTGCCAGGACTCCTATTGGAGTACCTTTTCCCATTATTTCACATGGTATCAAGAGCTCAGGCCTAATTTTTTCCCTCTCTCTTTCCCTAATATCGGACGATGACTTCGTCCGCCTCCTCCTCTACCGCTATGGCTTCCGCTGCCATGAGCTCGGCCGTTTCTTCGGCACCGTTCTTCAACATCGATGCTCCAACTAGGGGAGAGCAAACCCGACCCTACCCGATTGACCCGGCCGGATATATCCGAATTTTTTGTTTGGGTCGAAAAACCCGACCCGAAATACCCAAACCCGATCCGATTCTTGCAACCCGAGACTTAAGCGTGTAGCGGGTAGGGTTACCAATTATGCAACCCGACCCGCCCGACCACCCGAAATACCCATGGCATATATACTCCTTATATACCTAATTGTACTGTTCAGTGTTAACTGTTAAGCTCGTATATACCAATTATCATTTGTATATACCAATTATTATTTTATTTATCACAATATCAAATATGTCAATCACCGTAGATTATTATTTTACATGATCAAATATGTCGATTACTGTATTTATACAACTATTACTTTGAATGTTATACTAATATAACTTTGAATGATATTTTTACCAATTACCATTTTATTCATCACAATTTCAACAATAATAAATTAAAACCCGAATGGACCCGAAAACCGAATCAACCCCACTGCAACCCGAACTTCTTCAACCCGAAAAACCCGATAATTTTTTTCGATAAGGTAGGGTTTGAAATTATCAATCCGATAACCGAACGGGTTTACAATTTTTGAACCCGACCCGCCCGAATCCGACCCGTGCTCTGCCCTAGCTCCAACCAAGTGTGGTTTTTACCTCCTCCGCTGCACATCTATCCCCTACGTCCGGTTCTCCCCTGTTGCTGCCGGCCTCCTCCCTTCTCTTCACTAATTTTCCTCCACCACCAACTTTTTCC